GGATGACTTGAGTTTGTTTACATCGTGAGAGTTCAGAAACTTCCACTCGATGTTACTGCCTTACTCTAGCTATCAAAGCGTCAGACCCTTTTTATAATAGCTGTGTATGCACGTTTGGTCGCTGTCTGTAGTGTACGTAGTATGGATAAGTACTTTGATCACTAGAGCAACGTAGCAAAGGCACGCTATCTCGAGAAAATTTCGTGCATTGGGAATCTAAAGACCGGGCGTACCAAATAGACAATGCCGAATTGGAGTGAGGACCACATGTGTGTCCGCATGCACACACCTAACTTTGGATGCTGGGTGAAGCTACCTAACATTTCCAGCCGAGTGCCATTTTTATACTCTTCAGCGCGAGCTTTCAGAACTACAAAAGCCTGGATGCCTGACGATCGACTGTTCTGCGGTTTGGTTTAGTGGGTGTATTCAGTCTACATCTTCATGTGAACAGTGAGAGTCCCATCTACGTTTTCCGAGCTACGTGTTTCTGCCTCCCAGTCGCTCTAATATCCATCTCTCTATCCGTGCATTGGTCATGACTGAGAGACTACAGTAAAAACCCGCGTATAAGAACATAGATTTTAAGAAACATGTTAGGCTAAAATTTGCCATTTAGACCCCTTTACATAAGAACTGTTTTAGGCCAGATTCTAAAGTGGTTCTTAATTTTCCATGCAGATGCAAAGACTTAAAAGAAACCACACGTAATAAAAGACGAGCTCAAACATATCGATGCATAACAATGCCAATGCCAATGCCATGCCAATCCAATGCCACATGCTCAACAATCAATGCCAGCACCCTGGCTTTGTTATTGAGACACCCAGTACTAGCATTATTTAGGCATATACAGTAAAAACCCGCATAAAGAAGCACCTTACACATAACCTACGCTGTATGGTAACAACATGCATCCAGTCACTAAGGCCCGGCGCATGAGCGGCGGTTTCAGCTAGTAATTTAAAAAGTAGAAAAACAATTAAGAACCTATTAAGAACCTTTTGAGCTAATTTTCAGTAAGCACCTTTATATAAGAACATGTTGAAGGCTAACTTGCAACATCTATGTTCTTATAAACGGCGGCGTTTTTTAGCTGTATGGGAGCAGGCATCATGTCAGCACATCTGTACTTGTAAGCCCGGGCTGGTGAATTTCTGTTTCCATGTTGGCCTCGGTGCTATTTTTATGTAGAGTATGCTGGCACACGTGGCAAGGGAGAAATCACCACCCCACTCAAACAGCTGCCTACTGGATTGCCGGCGATATATGTATCTAAGTGTAAATGTGTGGCGGCGTGCGGTGTACCTTTTGTGTGTTGGCCAGAGGAGGCATTTAACCGGCATTCACATGTAATTATCCGACATACAAGGCGAAAGAGAGTAGAGAAGGAAACATTGGTAGTAAAATACATTTCGTGTTTATTCAAGCATTGCTTTTTATTGGAAAATGCTCTAAACGTTCCTGTGGTCGTGCCTAGTCTCGTCTCAGTTTACCTTGTGTTGTGCTCACGCTAGGCAGGCGCTAAAAAAGCTTGTGTGGCAATCTCTCTGATACCGATTGCTGGCATTGTTGAAACCGGCAGGAAGCGGCGTTGTGATGGCTTTGCCTTAATAGGCGAATAAATATGAGAAGGTGCGTTGCTCATGTACTTGTACGCATGCCTGAACTGGTTTCTGGCAACCCTAAATGGCCATGCGGCGTTCGATTGTGGTTAATATGAAAAATCGCGGAAGCCACTATATTTGACATGTTGTGTTGTGTGTGTGTGTGTTTATTGTATGCAGTAGCCATGTCCACATGTAAGATATATGGGATAGTGTTTTTGAAGGGCAAGTTGCAGTAATATATTTAACTGTAATTATGCACGCATCCCGCCATACTTCAAATGAAAATCTTTAGCACAATGTGAAATATGAGTGTTTAAAAAAATTATTTCTCGGCCATGATGGCAGAATAAAGTCATTTCACTACAATTCGCATCCACGGTATAGCACAGAGTCCTGCTTTAAAAAGATTACAGTTCTTTAGTCGCTAGACGGTTTTCGTTGGTCCTACGGGTCGTTGGTGCCTACGGGTCGCTGGTCCTACGGGTCGTTGGTCCTATGGGTGCGTTGTCCTGACGGTGCACGCAGGCACAGCGTAATCTTTTTTCTTTGAAGTTGTTTGTTCATTAGTTAATTTAATTTTTAATTTTTTCTTTTTATTCAGTTTCAATTAAAAAATAATTTACTTAATTTTTAATTAATTTTTTTAAATTTTTTAAATGTACCACGACAACGTGTCCTATCGGTGCTCGATACAAATATAGCTGAATGCAGCATAAAAACTATAATAAATGAATACTAACAAAAAATAATTAGTACTGGTAAAAAATATACATCAGTGTATTTTACACAGCCGGCTGGACTGCGCTGTGTAAGTGTAGCGGCACAGTCCTTGTACCACAGTCTTGTTCCAAGTCTTGTAGTGTACCACAGAGTCCTTGTACGCACTAGTACCACAGTCACTTAAACTTCTTACACTGTACTTCTTAAACTGGTGTATGGTTCCACGCCAAGGGTGAGATAAAATCATTTTGAGGGGAATGAAACTAGACGCAAAAACATAAGGAACTTTTGTCGTGGGTGAATGAATTTTGTGATAAAGGTCTCGAGGGTAATGACACTGAAATAGTTTTTAAGAATTATTTCTTCTGCCGCTGCCTCCCGACTCCTGTCTGGTGGCATACTTCAATCATTTAGTGAAAAGCCACATAGTCCTAATAAAAATGTAAAAAAAAATTTGTACTAAGAAATTTTAAAGATAAATTTCAAGCAAATACAATTAAAAAGTACAAATAAATAATTAAATAAAAAATAAAATAAAGAATGAAGAAATGTGATTTTAAAAAAATTGGGCATCACTAGGGTCGGTGGTCTACCCTTTACTAATAAACGGGGCGGTAGGAGCAGTGGTGGCAAACTTTTCAAAGGCGAGGGCCGCATGCCGTGGGGCCATGAAAAGTTGAAGGGCGCGCACCTTTTAAAATCGGGGGCGGTTCGCTCTAAGATAATACGTGCCGTTTTTCGCCTGCAAAGGGCACCAACTCTGGACCATAATTAGCTGAAGATGGAGTTGGCAAGAGTCGAACCAGAGAGCAATAGAAGCACTATCTGTATGAGCCTAAAAAGTCAGGCGCTAGGTTCAGCAAAACATGTTGACTTTCACGACAAATTTTTGTGATTTAAAAAAAAAGAATTATTTTTTCTTTTTTATTTTTTATTTTTTATTTGCTGTCCGCGGGGGCCCGTACAGAACCCGCGCAGAGGCCGCATGCGGCCGCGCGGCGCGGCGCAGTTTGCCCCGGCCCTGCCGTAGGACAACGACGCCGTAGGATCGCAACGACCCGTAGGACCAACGACCCGTAGGAACCAACGACTCCGTAGGACTATAGATCGGTTCCCGTTTAAAATACTGTTCTTAAAACGATGGAGGGCAATTGATCTGCATTGCTTTGGTTTTTTATTCAGCAAGCATTCTGCAGAGATAACGTGATTCACTGATAGAACGCACAGCGCACTGTGGGAGTACCCAGGAAAGCTGCTGAGTGAACCGGCTTGTGCACTGTCAATGGATTTTGACTTCAAGACAAAGCAGTAAGCTGAAGCAAGAACTGAAAATAAAGCTCTTCCTTGTCTGTCGACGTTTTTAGTGTAAGGCATTACACAGCTTTCTGCTATACAGATTACATGTCATATCATTAATGAGGCACCCATTAACACTACGCTTAATTACTTGTGAGACAACACGATTTTACATTCAGATTACATATAAGCAAACAAACATCTGCTTTAGAAAGTTGTTGCAGATTAAAAAACGTTTTGCTGTATATATGTTTTTGAATAACATAGATTTATTCAAAACAATGCTATATCGAGGTCAACTATAATATCCTCTGTTGCTACAGCAAGCTTGTCTATGGTTATGCTAATGTAATAATATTCTTTATTTGCTTTTAGGGTTCTTATACGCAGCCATTTTTGTACAGTTATTCGCTTTGTGTGTAAATCATTACCTGGATAGTGTTTAATTTTCACAACTTTCAATTCCAGGGATGGATGTTGTAATTGGTGTGGCATTGTGGATGGAGTACCAACTTGATGATAGCATCGAGTTCAGTACAGGCTTGACCGCAGGCCCCAACCGAGGAAACCTTTGTGGTTTGGGATAGGCTAGCTCTTCAACAGGCAGTACATGGTTGCTGGGGCCAATGACCTCACAAGTCAGCCAAATTTCAAATCCCTGTGTAAACGTGCAAGCAGAGATTTGTACACGTCAAGCAAAGTTCAGCTGTGTATTTTCAGTGCTGTAGTAAACGTGTGGTCATGCAGGATTGTCACAGATTGTTCAGAAATGCATAGGTTGTCAATAAAATATGGATGAATGAGGCCCAGCTGTGAGTCATTCTACTAACCATGTATTTTTATTTACTCTTACATTTAATATTGAATATATTAATAATGGCTTAGTTTCACTTTATTAATTAAACGATTCATGTCATTCAATGAATTTTAGTAGGTAGCTGAATAATTTTATGGCATCTGATCTCGTGTAGATGCGTGAGTTTGTATGTTATAATTAAAGTATAAATAATCAAGAAGGACGTATAGACATTTGTGGTTCACTAAAGAATATATTTGGTTTACAACAACCCCGTCAGCTGTCACCTGTCACGTTCTGTCTGCGTTCCTCCCGGTGGCTCCAAATGCTCTGCTTCCGCTTACTATATGAACCCCGCATCAATCACGGCCGCAGTTCACTCTACGCGGCGCTAACCAATCACACACGCACTCTCTCTCTTGTTCAAATTA